ATCACGACACGACATGGCGTCCTCCGAAGGATGTGCAAGTAATATTCGGACACGGTTGGGGTGTGATGGCCCAATGTCCTGGCGTCTTCACGGAGAGTATGTGGCATACTTTGCATAGGGAGGTAAGATTTTGGTTAGAAAAAAAAAATCACAAAATGTTGCAAGTCGGTCACCGAATTTTGCTCAGCACTCGGAATTGGCCAATCACATCAGGTTATTTTCACAGGTGTGTCCTCTTGCTGAATAATATGCAAATTTAATTCACATTGTGAACGATAGTCTCAGACTTGTTTCTGCTCCTCTAGACTGTTCTCGATTTCTTTGTAATAATTACAGAAACCTCAACCCTAACGACCCATACCCAACGAAGACATAGGAATAGCTGTCGAATGTGTACTCATAACATTACTGGATGTGCAGGACGCGACCATGCTTTCCCCAAATTTGAAACAACTCGATGGCAGTACCATAGTGCGTGTCATGAAACAAGTACGAAAACTCCGCAAGCAGAATTCAGTGACCCGGACCCGAGGCTATTACGACGCAAAACGAAGGTACTTGCGAACACGTGTCCTGGCAGCACTGCACACCGTGGAGAAATGCGAAGAATCAATTCCAGGAAAGGGAAACATATATCACTGTGAGTGGGAAAAAAACGATTTTTGTTCATTTATTTAATGCGATCGATTACTGATGTTCAGAAAATTTATTACTATGTAAACCCTGAATAGAATCAAATCTAATTGGCTTGAGTGATGAATTTGGTGTGCGTGATTTATCCAAGATCACACATCCCCAATCTTACTGAATTATAAATAAATTCAGTATACAAAGAAAGTATTTAAGATATATAGTTGAATAAATGAATGAATGAATGAATGAATGAATGGATGAATGAATGAATGAATAATAAATAATAAATAATAAATAATAAATAAATTAAATAAATAGATTATAGATTATAACCCTAATTCTACACCTGTTTGTAGTTTTTATTTAACGTTTAAACTATATATACTAGTAATCACACAAAGATAAAAATCAATATTAATATTGAAACTCGTCACCCCTTAATTAATGCGAGTCGTATGAATCTGGCGATAATATAAACCAACTGATAATTTTTTTAAAAAATCACTGTAATAAAAATAATAAATATATATATATATATTTCCTTTTTGAAGCAAAATTGATTCGCATACTTTCGTTATTAATTGTGTATGTATACATTTGAAATTCGTCTATACAGAAACAGACTGAATGTGTAATAACAATGAACGTGTCATAGTATATTTGCATGTTATTTTAATTATTCACAAGCATAGTAAATTTGCATTAAAATTTTAATTATTCACATAGCATAGTAATTATGGTTATAACTACTGTAACCGTGTGGCCGATTTTCTCTTGACTTCGGTCATACTAGCAGTATATCATGTTGTCTTTCGTCTAGCAATGAATTCATCTGGGTAAATACGACTCTTGAATATGTCATGCGATTACCTTGCATGTAAACGCTTTATCTGATTTAAAGTAAATGCGTATAATAATAAATATGTGCATGATATATATATATTTATATATTACCTTGTAATAATATAAATTGCATTCAATCATGTATATTATTGAAATTACAAGTTTGACCTCGTGTCTTATATCGTGCTCAAAAAATGCAAACATATCTTGCATTTATTGATGCATTTTTTTCCTTTGAGAACAAATACAACCACGCTTGTATTGCGATATTTCTTCTTGGCCACTCCATCAGTTACACGTCATTTGCGTCATCTGTTCTATAATTGGCGATACAAACGAATTAGCTTTGAGCGTCGCATAGCAACTGATTCATGCACTGATTCTGATCTATATTTTATTGACGTATGCTTTGCTTATATCTCCTCGACATTCACGACATCTTCGCTGAGCTCATCAGTCTGTCGCGTTGCAAGGAAATAATAAGCTGTCATAAAAGTGGATGACTGCTCGCCGTGAAAAACACTCTTAAAATGAGTGGTTTCGTTTTATTCTCATTTTTTTTAGATTTAAAATTTGCTCCTTGTATTTATTGTGAAACGCAAAAATATCATTAAACAGTTCACGAATTGTTGTGTTCATATTGAAAACTAGTTATTTTTGCCGATTCACAGAAAGCGACTGGAGTTCTCGATATAAACGATCATAAACTGTGTTGGATTGTCTTAACTGAGGTGTGCTGAGGTGTGCTATTGTGTTGCAGTTAGACAACCGAAGTTACGAAGGCATGTTCCCCGATGATGAAATCGGGGCGAGGGGCAAAAAATGACAGAGACAGACAAAAATACAAGTCGTCGTCAAATGCGGCGCAGCAGCGATTCAGTATTTCAACTGAAACGTGAGAACCCTTCAATAACTTGTATTGCAATCTTGCCAATTTGGTGGGTGCATAATCTCGACGACAAGTGGCGATTAAAACTAGCTACGTACATCTTAGTGACAAGCGCATAAACGTGTCAACCCTTTCATTTGACGCGACTTTTCGATGCTATAATTGTCTGATTATTTCGTTGCCTAGCAACCAGCATAGTGATTTTAAGCTCGTCGAAGCTGTTATGTATATGCGCTTATCGTCGAGCATTTCTCTAACTAAAATGTTTCAACGCAGTACTTGAGACAAAACAATAACATTGTCTTCAATTTTGTGTTTTTGTTTTTTAATATAAATCTTCGCTACGACAACGTTATCCGACACCTTCATCTACTTCAATGCAATTTAGTTCGACCTTTCATATTATTTCACGCCTTTAATTGTTGTATTTTTGCATATGTAATGCAAAATGAGACAATGTATTAATATTACCCAGAATGCTTCGCCTCAATATGTCTCCCACGGTGCGTTCAAAATATTACGTAGCAACCACGATCCTTTGAGTTAACGCGCTGGATCACCGAGTAGTTATCCGTACATGCGTACTCTTGCCTTGCGGAGTTAATCAGCGGTCGGGGTTGAGTTTAACAGTCAACTGGACACCATGAGTGCGGCTCCTGATTCGGTTGATTTATGGGGTTACATGGATGACGGTACGTATACCATCCTAACATTATCACTACATTATGGAACTAAACAAACAATCCCCCATCCCACACTCGGCTGATCTAAACACGTTGATAACCATAGCGTAACGCGCTTACGTATATTTAATATTGTAGCATCAAATGCGAGGTTTTCTCTGCGCTGTCATCTCAATTACCCAGCAACCTCCGTCATTTAGCATGTCATCGTTGTCTTGACATTGATAGAGACAGATAGAAAAAAAAGTCCACACCACCGTCGACCTTCTTTTCCCTAAAAACGACTAAATTGGAACACAAATATCGCATTTACAATAAACGGCTATGACAAGTGGCTGATTCATATAGGCGTAATGTGTTCAACCAATCATCGATACAAATTGCATTCGATACGCTTGCGTTATGCTTGATGATTATTCTATAAATAGTCTTCGTTTTGGGATACGAGAGGGGAGGGAGTGTTTTAATATATATCCACACTGTGCGATCTGTTCGTTAATATACACATCAAAATAATATGGATCTGTATCCTTTGGCAACCGTGTTCAATTTCAGCAATTATTTATTATGTTGTATTATTTTGCAGTGACCTAGGGTGGGTTATAGAATATGAGCGATCAATTTTATTATATTTATAGGACAATTATATAATAATATATTATATTAATTCAAAATAATCACACAGATTGTCTTAAATGTATTAAAGCGCGGTGGTCGTCGCGCAGCGCGTGTTCGAATTTCATGTAAATAAACAATGTATTTCACACGCGTTG